CCCGCCCCGTTGCCATCCCTAATTGTTTCTATGTAATTTTTAATATAAGAGTAGATTATAATTTTAAAAATAAAAGAATAAAAATAAGTTATTTTTTGTATTTTTATTTTGAGTCCATCTTTAATCTTATGTATAATTTTTAAATTTATATTTTAAATATTTAGCCTTGTTCAATACATATATATATATATATATATTAAATCTTTGGTAGTATTTATTTTTTAATATTTTAAAAAACTTTTGCAACAAGCAAAATAAATAAAATCATATATAGGAAAATTATGAACAAAACAGAGTGAAAAATATGGCGTTGTCGTGTATTTTTAGACTTTATACGTAAGAGTGGGGGAAAAAGTACAAGTATGGAGTACATGTAGAACGAAGCAGAAGAGTGCGAACGAGATCGGTGTTGAAAAAACAAAGCATGAAAGTTCGGGAAAAGCAAAACATATGAGGGGAGAAGATAGAAAGCGTAGCGTAGCGTGTTTTGAGCAGGAAAAAACAGACACGAGAGAGGTCCCCTCGTGGCCTCGTGGGACATTTTTTATATATATAGATCTCAAGTATCTTTCAGATTTAGACCCATCTTGTTTCAGAAGGATAAAATCACTATAACAAAATCTCGATAAATAATATTTAATGCAGCTCATACTCCAGACTACGATTTATGCATTATGCATTATGCTCCGTCCAGGTCATTAAATTGCACGAGAGAAAGGGACAAGATGAAGTAAATAGAAAGCAGTGAACCAGTATGGTATGAATGAAGAAGAAGATTCCAAACAAATAACTCATGAAATAGTATTTCTCAATTTTTACTACAACAAAGAATATAAGAATAGGTAGAGTTTTATTACATTGTTACAACACAGAGGGTGAGCAGACAAACAGAACACGTGATTCAGGCAACATCAAAACCCTGCCACACCGATTAGCCTTGGGTGGCAAGAAGGAAAAGTGGAAAACCAAGCTTATACCCAAAGCATGGAAAGCAAGGTTAATGGGTGCATAGGTTTCTGAAAAGTAAAAACAAAAGAATCAGGCAGTAGGATTAGGAGAAAGAATCTCCATGAGGGAAGTGTAAGTACCGAAAACAGCAATAACGAAGCCAAAAACCACAATGGCCCCATCCGAAAGAACACACCTCCACCCCAACTCCTCCTTAAAAACAATACAATGAAACAAGGCAGGCAACACAAAACTCAGAACCACACACACACAACTTCCCACAAAGGACAAAAAATCGGCAAAATTCGGCACCAAAAGCGCCACCAAGCTTGTGAGCAACACCACCAACCACCTCAACCACAACGAGTACCTGGACCCACACCACCGTCTCTCCACCACCTCATAAACCGGGTTCATCATAATCGGAAAGGTAAAAAACAGATTCACACAAAGCCCCAACTGAACCAACGCACTAATCACCCCTGGCCCCAAATTGGTTGTAATAATATCCTTCGTTTCTTCCCCATAAGCAAAGTAACCCAAACCCCCAAACAGACCAAACAACACAGAAATAAACCCCATCCCCAAACCCAAAACCCTACCGAATTTCTCCTTATCCTTCGCCTCACTCTCCAACGGCAAAACCATTCCAATCCCCTCGAAAGCATAAACCGCCACACCGATTCCGTACAAAAACACATTCAAACCCCCGAACGTTTTCAACTGGGGCTTGTTCTTGACAAAGACAAAGACATCGTCCACCATGACGGCGCTCTTGGAAGCGAAATCGACCAAGTCAGCGAAGATGCTCAAGGGAGCCAAGTGAGTCAAGGAGCGAATCGAATTGAGCCCTAGCTGAAAGGGGAAACATGCAGAGAGGTAGAGAACCTTGGGGGTGAAGAAGAGAAAAAGCGGCGTCGTTTTATCGGTAGTGAGATAGGCGAGCGTGGTGGAGATGAAAATGAGGTAGCTGACGCAGAAGCCGGCCTGGGAGAGGACGATCATGAGGTCCACGGTGAAGCGGCCCAGTGGGCCGCAGATGGCGAAGCCCAGGTCGCCGAAGGAGGGGAGTTTGGCGGAGTGGAGCTTGCGGCGCGTGAGGACGAGGAGCATCATGCAGTGGTAGGTGAGGAAGGCGACCGCGAAGAGCATCAAGAGGCCCAAGAGCCAGCCCGTTCGCTTGAAGCTGTAGGGGAGGCCCAATACGCCGGCCCCCACTATGGAGATGAAGATGTTAGCGAAGGTTTTGATGTTGGAGGAGTGAGGAGGGGCCTGGCCCAGAAGAGGAGTGTCCTCTCTAGGGTAGGGTGGAAGGGAATAGGACGATGAAGCTGGTTCCTGGGAGAACACCATTGTTTCTGATACCCTATCTTGGTAGGTAGGCAAGTTTGATGTTTGATGCTTGATGCTTCAATCTCCATCCCAATTAAGTAAGTTAGGTTCACAAATATGTGGCGCCTATGCTGTGCTTTCCTACATCTTTCCAAAATATTTTGTTTTCCTCTTACACTTGCAAACAATTTGTGGGCTCCATCATTATTCATTTCTTTTCCTGCTTGTCATCATTTTTCATAACAAAATTATTCATCTAATATGACTGCTTTTTTTTTTTTTATTAAAAAAATTACATGTTTTTCAAATTATTCTTAGTATTAATTAGGTATTCTTATTCATTATACCTAGCATTTAAATTTTTTAATCTCTTATAGTGATATATTTATTAATTTAATTTTGTAACGAATCCAAATTTTTAAGTGTTTATCCATTTGAACAACTTAGTAAATTTGACATCCAAATTAGTGCGTGTTTGGTTTCAATTTTTAAACGCAAGTTCTTCATCTCTCTCCACGTCCAATTATCAATTTACGGAGAAACTATTATTTTTTCCTTCTAGTTAAACATGAAAAATCATGTTTCAACGCTGATACAAACACACAGTTAATTGATTTGTCTTATAAATCGATACACAACATTTTTTTTTACTTCTCTATATTGTGTTTTTAGTTTTCTATTTATCTAAAATAAATATATTTATTTCTTTATCTTTAAAATTATAAAATTTTATTTTCATCATTAGTTATATATTTATTAATCGTTAAATTTTAATATTACTTAATACTTTAATAGTCACTTAAATAATATGATATTTAGAGATAATATATATATATATATATATATATATATTTTTTTTTTTATTTAATTTTTTTAATTTCTAAATATCATGTTATTAAATGAATAAATTTGTAGATGTCAATTTAGCAAGAGAACTGAAATTTCACATTTTTAAAAATTATAAAAACTATATATATTTTCAAATAGAAGGATTAAAATTATGAATCAATAAAAATAAAAAATAAAAAAATATAATTTATCTATTTTTTAAAGTTCTTTTTATAGGAAAAGAATATATTCACAAATCAAAATCCACCGAAGAATTCAACAAATATGACCAATAATATAATGAATGAGATGTATATTAGACATTAAAAAAACACAATCGTAGAAGGTAAGATAATTATGATTGAAAACTCTAACCATAATAAAAGAGTTAAATTTATCTATCAAATTACACAACCTTCTATTTTAAAGCTACAAATTATTAAATTATACACAACTTTCATTTTACTACTTTATTTTTTTTTTCAAGTTGTGTTGGGAGGGGTCTCAACATACTTATATATATATATATATAATAAAAGTTGTAATTGAAAATTACGATTTAAGTCATCCTGTTGAACATTTTTTTATTTTATTTTTATTCATTAAAAAAAGAACATAAATAATTCTAAATTTTAAAAAACTTGCTTTTTTGGGAAGTGTTTAATATAAGTGCTTGCAATTTGAAGAGTTCATGATAAGCACATACTCCTCATAAGATCTTATCAAATAACAGCGTTTACTAAGAAAAAAGCGAAATAAGAACATCCGTCGGAGAGACTCTTATAAACTAAAATAGTCAAAATAATAAGTATCGTGTATCGAAAATATAACTTTTATTTTAAAAAAATCAAAACAGTCAAATATATAGCGTAAACACGACTTTTATTTATTTAAATTAAAAATATGAAATCACATTTTAAAATACAACTTCTCTTCTCATTTTTTTAACATGACTTATTTCTTTGTTAAATTTTTTTATAAACTAGTATTTTAATGTGTAATATACATGTTAAATATTTATTATATATAATTAAAATTTATAATAAATTATAATATATATAAATAAATAATATATTTAAATATATAAATTATATTTAAAATGAATGGATATTTTAAGGTATATAAATTTTATTTAAATTTATGGTAAATAATTTATATTATTAGTAATTTATTTTCAAATATTCAATCTAGCTTATAAATAAATATGATAGATAAAAATTGAAATAAATAAGAAGTTAAAAAGAATTCTTCAATATTATCTTATTGAAAACAAACCTAAAAATATTATTGCACAAAATAATCATTTGTATTTAATAGACTAATACATTTTATTTTTGATCTTTTATCTTATTTTTTAAATTCACTTTATTTTCTCATATGTTAAAATATTCATTATGATCTTTTTATATTTAGATTGATTTGGTCATTTTAAAACAATGGTTATTTTCAATTTTATAACATAATTATAAATCAATTTTGATTTGATTTAAGGTATGAAATCTATAACATTAAATTCACTTATATAAAATATGAGATTCAATTGAAATTCAAATTTAAAAGGGATTATAAACATAGTAAAAATATGTAAAAATGTATCTAATAAACAATGAAAAAATAATATGAAATTATATATTTTTTAAAAAAAATTATTTGTTATTTGAATTTATTTACATATCATTTTCACAATATTTACAACACTTATTTTGTTTTGAACATTTTTTTTTTGGGTAAAGAGAGGTAAATTGAAACAAAAAACCAACAAATTACAAATGAGGGAGAGAAACTCCTCTTGCATCAGCTAAAAGCTGATAGAGTAAAGCAATAGGTGTGGTACCCAATTCTTGCAATGCAGTATTAGAGTTTAGGCATAGTCTAACCAAGTAGTCTGCACAATAATTCCCTCCCTATGAACTAATCTAAGATCCTAAAGATTAGCCATTAGTTCCTTGATGTTTTGAATGATAGGTGCATACCTATGAAACCTCCCTCTTGGTTGTCACATTAAATCCAAGCACCCTTGGAATTTCACAACAAACCTCCCATACCACTTAGGGTAGGTTAGTTAAAGAATTTGTTTTGAACTTTAATTGTATTCAGTAATTTTATATAAATAAACATAATGAGACAAATTTAAATCTTGAGATTACTTAAGAAAAATATATTTAAAATTATGTTTTAAAATTTTAAAAAAATTGTTTTAAAAAGTTTAATTTGACCCAAATTTAAAAAATAAGAAAGTAAACTGATCATTTTAACAAACAAATAAACATGAATTAAAAAATAAGATAAAACAATATAATTTAACCAATTTAATACATAGGCGTGTATTTACCCATTTTGGAAAAAAAAATTACTCTCTTCATGTATAAAAGCCTTTAGTTTGTAAGAGCCATGCGAGAGCTGACTTTGACACTTATAAAAGAAAGGACACCACAACTTTGTTTCGTTTTTTTATAATTCAACTTATGTATCGTATTTTGCACATAAAATTCATCTTCAGTGTGATAGAGGTGTAAAAAAATATCTAAATCAATCTACAACATTTTAATTCTTTGAAGAAAAAAAAACTAATCGAACCAAATTAAAGTAAATCGATTGAAAGAATTTGAATCGAACTATTTTATAAAAATAATTCCGTATTAACTGAAATATCTTTATAAAATAATTTGATTTGATACTGTTTGGCTATTTTATTTTTTTTTTGAAAAAATCATTTTTTGCACGGTCCCAGTGATAGAGAGCAAAGATAATTCACGTGATGTTTATCTTAAAGATGAAGAGTGAAGCAAAAATCCAAATATCCCTGGTGTGTGACAGTGACAAGGTAACTACAATTGCCTACCCATTGCCAACCAAATTGGTCAATTGTGTGTGTACTCGATCATAAATTTGAGGCCGTCCACTTGAGTATTTCTTGTCGTTTAACCAGAAACGTGTAGTCTTGTAATTTTTAAACGACAAGCTTATACAGATACAGAAAAGGGAGGTATGAGCTAAGATCTTCAAGATAAATTATGAATATCATTAATATATTATTAAGAACCAAGAGAAATTTAGTGTGCACTTTACAATTAGAAACGCTGAATTCTGTAGAAGATAATCCAATAAGGTTTGGAGACATATGGAGACCCATAACGATTGAGATAAGGTTTGTATGAATTACATGGTGTTGGATTTAGAAACCGTTGATGAAAGTCTACAAAAATTTCCCCTTAATAAACCATAACTGAATACTTTGTTAATACATAAGGCACTACTGATGAGTACATGGATCAACTTGTAAAGAATTATTCTAGTTTAACCAGTAATTTTAAGTTTAATTTTTGGATATACAACTATATTAAATGTTCGAAGGGAGAGTTTTGTTACTCATAATAATCCTACTAATTTGAACAAAATTGTCGTAAGTGAAGAATACATGGTGTATAAAATAATCAGTTGAGGGAGCATTAAGAGTTTGAAGCTAATAAATTTATCGTGGGGCAGAGTTTGCATAATCCACGTTAAGTGCTAGAGTATGTCATCTATGTTGAGCATATTCTTATTGTAGTGTCTTTCTTGATTCAGACTGTGAAGAAGTGAATTCCAAATAAAGAGGTCAGGAAGGATGCCCTTGTCTACCATTTCCATAAAGACCTGCATGGCTTTCTGAAGGTCCCCCTTCCTACACAGGACTTCAATCAAAGGACTGTATGTTTCTGTATTGGGTACACAACCTCTTGCAGTGATGTCTTCCACCAGCTTCAAGGCACTTTCAACTTTTCCTTGTCTGCAAAACCCACTGATGACAGCATTGAATGTAGATGAAATGGGAAAACAGTTATTACCAATCATTTCGTTCATCAGCTCAACAGCCTCTCGGACACTACCTTGTTGGGAAAATCCATGCACAAGGCAGTTATAAACTAGAATACTTGGAATTCCACCTTCATCAATCATCTGATCATATACCCTCTTTGCATCCTCAATATCCCCCTTCTTGCAGTGCTCTAAAATCACCAGGCTTCTGTCAACAGCTCTAGGGAACAAGTTTCCCATCTTTGTTAGAAACTCAGTTGCCTCATCAAAACGATCTTGCTTAAACAGGCCATATATTATGCTATTATAAGGACTGATGTGCCCTCTAGAGCCTTCTTTGCTTTCCTCCATTAGCTCCAAAATGGAAAACCCATCTTCAATTCTTCCTTCTGAACACAAACCTCTAATTACTGTGTCAAAAGTAACAAAGTTCCACTTGATCCCATCTGTTTTCATATCATTAAAAAGATCAAGAGCCAAATCCAACATCCCAGACTCACAAAAACCAGATATCAGTACATTATAGGTGTCCACATTTGGTAGACAGCCTTTCCTCTCCATCTGCTTCAGGAAATGAAGCCCAACCTTCACCTTCCCCCCTCCACAAAACCCCTTTATCAAGGTGTTGTAAGCCACAACATCTAGCAAACCTCCCATGCCCTCAACTCTTTCTAAAACCTCAGCTGCCTCCATGACACGGCCAGCATTACACAGAACCTCCAGCACCTTGGTAACGGTAACAACATCAGGCACAAACCCCATGCTAAAACTCTTCTCCAGCAGGACAAGAGGCTGAACTGAATTCCCCTCCTTACAATACCCAGATATCAAAATGTTAAAGGTAACATCATTAGGCTCCTCCATCTCACTCATCAAGCTCCTAGCCCTTCCAACCTTCCCATTCCTACAAAGTGCATGGAGCAAAGTGTTGTACACCACAGTGTTTGGGGTAACCCCTCTAGCCTTAATGAGCTGCAAGAGCTTAAAACCTTCACCAATCCTATTAGTGAGACACAGCCCTTTCATTAAGATACCAAAAGTGTAATCATCCCCCTCAACCCCACTTGCCATCATGCTCTTCCTATAAAACTCCCTAGCCATGTCAATGTCCTCCTTCACAAGCACATCCAAAATTGAGTTGAAAATCTTGAGGGAAGGCCTGCCATGAAACTTGTACGCCAAGTCAAGTACTTTGATGACAGTTCTGGTCATCCGGGCACGGCCGAGGCCGCGGATGATGGTGATGAAGATGTCGTCGCCGGGTGGTGCGCCAAGTGACTGGGGCATTTCGTCGAGCAGTTGCTTGACAGTGTCGAAACGGCGGAATGTGCATAGCTTGTGGATCAATGCGCGGTATGTGGATTGAGAATGGACGAAGTTGGGGATGGATCTGAAGCATTCCAATGCTTGGGAAGCAGATTTCTGCTCCAGTATGAGCTGCGAAACATGCTCCTCGCTTGGTGCAGATGAAGATGAATGCGTTTGGAATTGGAAATGCCTAAGGAAAGAGATTGATGAGGATTTAGGATATGGTAGTGTTTTCCACAGTTTACGCATTTCATCAATCATCAACTGCACAAAAACTACTCTTCACCTTGCCAAAACTGAATCGGATAATTTAGCATTTTACAAAAAATTATGAAGTGGTCTGCAAAAGTTTGAAACCAAATTAACTGACGCTGTTGTACATGTATATATACCACACAGTAATGCTACATATAAATGTTTTCAGCATTAAAAAATTGAGGCCTTTTTTTTTTTACTGATTTTTATTTTATTATACGACCTCTTATTTTTATAATTAATAAATAAATAAGAAATCATTCCAATAGTAATATTTAATTAATTGATAATATAAAATTATATTACACTTTCATATTAAATTCTTATCTTATTCAATTTTAAGTATAAATGTAGGTTTTAAAACATCTAAATAACATTTTTAATCCCGTCACGGTTCAAATATTAATAGATTAATCTATATAATGTCTCAAAATTAATAATTAAGAATTAATATAGATTTATGCGACGTATCTTACCGGACTAATTTGAGATTTTTTTTAGAGGTCAAATAGTTTTATTCAATATAAACATGGTTGAAGCACAAAAGTTGTCATAACCTATCCAAGACGGCAAATACAATAAATGAAGCAATATAGTCGAAAAATGTGAAGCACCTAAATCAGTTCAATTACAATGTATTCCCCCTCACAAAAAATAACAGCAAATCATGTTTGATCTGAAAATTATAAACGATAAAATGCCGCCCCAAGCAACAAATGCATCATCATCTCTAAACAGCAGAATCATGCAGCCTCACCTTATCAAATCTAGCCCATAAAAATCATAATCTTGAAAACATGTTTCTGTCATGACAAACTAAATTTAAAGCATGCAGTGCTGCCCAATCAAAATGTGAAAATGTTTCCTTGATGCAGCAGGCCTTTTTCAATGTCTACATAATTTGATGCAGTCCATCCAGCCACATCTGATTCTTAACTCCCAATCAACAGAAATACTACCAATTCATTTTGCTGCTATATCACTCCAACTCTCTTAAAAAAAATTCATACAAAATTGAAATTTACAATTTTATTTAACTTTCACTTGCTTTTGGTCAATCCAAGATCTGCATAATTCAGCATAACCAAAAAGCATTTTTCCTCCATCTATGCACAATCCCTTATCCTCCAAATTCTTGATATGCCTAAACCAGATTTGTTATAAACACATGTCATGTTGCCAACTTCCATCACTTACATAACCAACAACTACAACATATGTCCAATTTGGGATTTACTTTTAAAAAATTTATCGTGTCATTTTATTTATTAGTAAAATATAACAATGAAATGAATTCTCATTGAGTATCTATATAATAACTATTTTACATTAACATAGTATATAAATTAAACTCTAGCTTTTCAACATTCTCCCAGCCCAAAGATTAATAGGTCTAACATTGTAATTCTTAACAATCACTCCTAAATTTTTACTGGTTCAATTTGGGATTTACTTTTGAATGTTTATTGTTTTCTTGAATATGGTACATTTATTTAACGCAATCAATCCTTCCTAATTATGTTGATTTGTCTTTTTAACATATTCATTGAAACTGTGAGCTGTTGTACAACAGACTGGATATCATATCATAGCTTTAAAAGTGATTCTATGTTTTTCCTTCAATTTTCCAAATGTGTAAAGGAAAAGTCAACAACAAGAATTAGAAAACAGTGAATGTTCCTAACAAATTTACAGTGACTTCAAAATGTAGTAAAAGATAAACTAAGGGGAAGGGGAATACGAAACATTTACTCCATAGCTCTCTTTTCAGGTCAGGGGACAATGAAAGTTTGCTGTTGTATTGTGTATTTGAATCACTTCCCACCATAGAAAATGGGAAGACTGACATTGAAGGAGACTTAAGGTATGTTTGGATAAATTTTTCTATAAACACTTACTGAATAAGAAAATAGGAAGAAAAAATGTAATAAAGTTATCTATAAACTAAAATTAGCTTATGCATAAGTTAAAAAGAAATTAATATAAGAAAATTTCTATAAATTAATTTATACATAAGCTAATTTTAGTTTATGAAATTTATTTCATTTTTTCATTTTATTTTCTTTTTTGTAAATGTATATGGAGAAATGTAACCAAATGTACCCTTATTGACGAGCCGATTCTCAAAAATTGAACTTCAAGAAGCTTGCTGTGGATAACAAGACCAGAAGTATGTGAACCTTGCCAGGTGATCGTTGCTCTTGTAATAATCATATAGTACAAATGTAGAAGGCTCTGAATCTGATTAGTACTCCCAAATTGGAGCTGTTACAAGTTGTGTAACATTATTATTGACATTTAAGCAAACAACAATGTTCAAGGGCAGCAGGGGTAGCAGTTAGTCAGAAAAATCCCCACTGAAGAACACTACTCAATAATCTGTACAAAATCAGTAACAAGTTTTATACTTTTATTCATCTACCATTCAAGACACCCTTGAGAAGATCAAGGCCTTCAGCAGAAATACTCCTCCTCCTATATGATCTAGGAATTTCAATCTTAGGAGGTGGATCCTTGGAGAAACACACCACCACAACTGTAAGGTTGTCACATGTGTTGCGTTGGAGTGCCTCAGCAACAAGTACCTTTGCACATGTGGTGGGATCATTATGCTGCATGAGCTCCCTCCTCACCATTGTAACAGCACACTGGCTGCTCATCACATCCCATAATCCATCACAACCTATTATCAAAAACTCATCTTCTTCTGTCAACACAATCTCCTCCAGCTCTGGCTCAGAGCTCAAGGGGCTCTTAGAGCCTTTAGAACCTTTGATGTGCCAATCTCCAAGGGCACGAGCCACTGATAGTTGGCCATTGAGGTATCCATCATATATGACACCACCAAGTTTCTCAATTCTTAATCTCTCAGAAGTGCAATTTGGTTTGTGGTCTTTAGAAAGTTCAATGGCTCTGCCCCGTTTACCTAATACAGCACGTGAATCCCCCGCATTGGCAATCAGAATGGAACTGCAAAATAAAATACTAGTACAATTATTGATATACTTCCATTAACACCAACCTTATATTATATGCATGTAGCAAGAGTACTTAAGTTTGAATTCATAATTATATGGTTCTCAGTCCTCACCTTCCCAACAAAAGGGCCACTAGAGCAGTGGTGCCTGAAGAATTATCAAGAGTACTAGCATCTCTAAATGCAAGATCAACCTTCACAAATGCACTCTTAACTGCTTTCTTAATGCCAGATGGGAAATGTGCATCTTCAATTATAAACTTAAGGATGTTCTTTCTGGTAAATGATGCTGCATCAACACCACCATGTCCATCAAATACCTGTATATCAATTTCCATGAGTATCTAGATTTTTTTTTTATCCACGAGAATTGAACTTGGTACCAAAGAGTTTACAACATTCACATACTCTGTTCAACCAACTGAACTAGACCCCATTAGTCATGAGTATTTAATCTAAAAGGCATTTAAATGGAAACCACATTGGAATTTTAATCGATAAATGTAGTCAAATAGGTAATTTATGTCCTGTATTAATCTTTGTAAATCTTTTAGCCCTATGTAGTTAATCAATGATGGGAAGTTCAGTCATGTCTTGGAGATTGCTCCACTTCTGAAGAGAATTTTCCCATTTCATTAGGTGAATAATAGGATTGATCTAGCTCGACATGAAGAAACATACCCCATAAAATGCTGCAGGAGAAGGAAGGTTTGCTCTTGGGCCGAGACTTTCCTGTAGAATATCAACACATATGAACTCATCCTCCATGTACTGCTTTGGTCCTTTATCAGAACAACTTCCAGATCGCAATGCAAGTGAAAATTCTGATTTTTCTTCTGTGCTTGTTTTAAGTCCAATGATATTAATATTTGATTCCTAGATAGAAGAAGATAAGGCATAGTTACTAGCTATAACAATATCAAAACATACGGGTTACCACAACTTGAACAAATAAACAATCCCTTTTCTTTCCATGAAACTCAAACCAGCCTCTTTTGTAATACAAAAATTATTAAGTCCTAGGAGAATATCAAAACAATAAACGAGGAAACAATATGTTCCAAGTTCCAACCTTTCCCAAGTCCTAAGTTCCTACCAAATTGTGTCACAACCATCAAAGGGTGCACAGGCATTGAATCTAGATGATATGATATCCAACCCACAACAACAAAAACATGGTATTTACCGAAAACTATTAGCATAAGTAGTTCAATCTGTGACTTGGACATGGAGTCGCAACAGAAAATACTACTTTATTTCTAAAATAGGCCGACCTTGTGGGATGGAATTATACGACCTAGCTGAATAGAAGAGATTTGAATTTGATAATACTAACCGGTTCAGCAGACCA